TGGCGGTAAGAGATTTGCGGACAATGAAGAAGTAATCGAAGCTGTAAATGGTTATTTTGAGGAGCTTGACGAATCAGTCTATAGAGATGGCATTAATAGACTGGAACACCGCTATGAGAAATGTATCAGCCTTGGAGGAGATTATGTTGAGAAATAAAAAAAAAAAATTTTTAAAAACCTTGTTTTTCTTGGTCAGGCCGGAAACTTATCAATCCACCCTCGTATTTACGAGACGGGAAAACTTTCGTATGATTACAAATCGAATAAGGATGTATCCCTACCAAAAAGGAGAGGCACGAATAGTCGCGAGAATTAGCTTTGCTTCTCATTTTTAAAAAATCGTACAGAGGAGAATGGAAAGTAGGGCGAAAGAAATTTTAGGGGGCGACAAATTCGGATTTAGAAGAAACACTTAATCTTGTTTTTTTTTAAGCTGCCTATGTGAATGTTTTTAAAGTAAAACTTTTATTACATCGCCTCAAATTTTTTCGTCCATCTATCGCATGTCGCATTACAGCCGGCCGCGGAGTAGGGATAAAAGTGAAAGTCGCTCGGCAAAGCAGCCAAGGCCAATATGGCGACGCCCATGGCTCGCATGTGCTAACCGTGTAGCATTTATATATTGTCACTCATTCGTGCAAGTGCATGACAATTACATTTGTAGACTGTGAAACTCAAAGCGAAGATGAAATTATTTTGATAGAATAACTGAAGTTCAAAATGGTTCAATGATTTAAATAAATATTGTTTTGTTTTTAACATGCGTCTATTATCTGAACGATTGTATTTATTATGTATTCCGTACTCTTACATGCAGATTGAAATTAAAATTTATGGTTGGATATCTTGTCTACTATTGATTTCCCATTATCATTCCCATTTTCCAATTATTAAGATAAGATTAAGAACGCGATTTTAATTTTATTAATTAATACGCTAAACCGAATAATTTTCCGAAAATTTACAGTTAAATGCCTACAATCCGAAGTTTCATTTGCAACGTGGTTTTATAAAACCACACAATTGTTCTTTCGACATCACTTAAATCTGATTTGCGTGTGCTTAACCTTACATAATATCAACTGTTTCACTTAATTAATTTGAAATATATTTTCTTGTATTGTATGTAACACCAAAGATAATTTAAGAGGGTAAGAGATCGTTTTGTTTGCAGAATTTGGAAGCCAAACTAGCACAATCTCGTAATGGTTATCGTGAAAGATATACTTACGATAACGCAAGGTAAACACAAATAAAAATTGTGATTTAAAAAGCGACGAAGATTTTTCGAATAACACTTGACAAAAAACAAGATTTTGTTTATTTTTATAGAAATCGTCATTCTAACAGAGGTGCTTCTACTTCCATTCAGGGTGTCACTAAGTGACACTGTTGATGTCGAAGGGAAGAAAAAGGCCCCATAAAAACGTTCCAATAAAATCTGCAATCGTTCGTTCGAAAGCCGTCTTTTTTTATTGACAAATTATTAACAATTTGACATTAATTTATTTTTTATTATTGTAACTGTTAGAAAGAGATGCTTTTGTATTCCTTAATATATTCCTGTAAATATGTTAATGTGAGTAAATAAGAACATACAAAAACCTACTGATTTATTCTTTTTTAGTGTTCTTAATAAAATAAATACTTAAAAGTGTACAGCATATTTTAATAATGCACAAGGTCAATTCAGTCTTATAAGTACAAAATGCCAATGAACGGTTCATTAAAGTAAAACAGCGTGGAAGAGGTTTTTTATTAATGTACTCCATTTCACAGGAGGCAGCCTAGTTGAAGTGCTGGGTAAAATTAACGAAATGCTTTCTTTCAATGACAATTTAAGAAGAGTAGCGTGAAGTGTGAGGGGCAAATCGTCTTTTTGATGTACAATCTTCATTTTGACAGTTCCTAAAAGAAGTGATTAACAGTGAAAACAAATTACACAAGTAATAATATAGCGAACATTTTGATGTTTTACTAAAAAAAGTTGTTCCTGTAGTCTTATATACGAGCGGTAGAAGTTATATTTCTATTTACATATTTATTTAGCCGGTACATACATAATAATAATTATATATTTACTTCAACATTTTCTATTAATTAAATAGTTGCGGTGGTGCCCTTAATGGCCCGGGTGCGAACTCAGTTCAATCCACATGCTCAATAACTCGCAGCTGTGCTAACGTCTTAATGCTGGGAAGAGAAGTAACTTGCTAGATGGGAGAATGTCTCCACCTCAGTTTATATATATTCGTGAAGAGTTACGCGAAATAATATAATTTAATGTATGAAGTATAACTTCAGTGCCAGTTTACGGCAAGCAAATAACAAAAACTTTAATTAAATTATGATTATAAGCATCCAATGTCATTTAAGGCAATTTTTGTATCTATAAATAACTGAGATATTGCCCGTAAACGAAATGTTGGGAAGTCAAATATATTAGCTCTTTGGTTTACTTACCTGCTAGTAAGGAAGAATTGAAAATCCACAACAGAAATACATAAACAGGTAAATACTGCAACAGTTGTCGTGCATAAATAAGGATCCTACCCAACAATATTAGTCCAACTCGTAACTAAAACAATAAACCCGTTTGACTATAACTTTGTCGTTGTTAATTTAAAATTGAAACATACTGTAGTAAAAATGGAATAATACAAAAAAGTGGTTGGCCACAAGAATAACAATATTGTAAATCCTAGAGTACCAATAAAGAGCTGGTGATGACTATACTGATGAGAATCTATACGATTTCGCAAAGGATTATATTTACGACCAATAAAAAGAGGCCACAAAGAACCTAATCCAACGACCTGGACTCTGTACAGCCTAAAAAAATTAATACATTAATAAAATACTGTAATTTATTTCAAAGAATTCGCACTACAGTAATTGTAAGGAAAATCATTATCAGATATTAATTATTAGTATTTCCTAATTCAGAAAAATGAAAATTTTAAGTTAAATTCGATAATTAATTTAAACTAAAAACAATCACTATGGATAGTTTTACCAAAAGTTTTATTAGAATATTCTTAAAAAGTTTCCGGCACATTACCATTTTAAATGGAATAGTAAATCTTGTACTAACGTATTGAAACTAAAACAGCCCCATTAAGAGCTAATAATTAACAAGAATGAGTGGGGAGCCTTTTAACTCTTGAAATTTTCAAAACGAATAGCCTTTTACACATATTCACACCACTATGCAAAATTATATTGTTTTCATCTAAATTGTGATTAAAAGAAAAGCCAGTTTTTGTCTTTTTTGTTAATACTGTACAAATGTTTTATTCTTACGTTAATAGCTAATATATAGAAACAAACTGGCTTCTCTGAACACTGTATATCGCTTTATTATAATGTAGATGAAAACAGTGTTGACGTCTTGAAATAAAAGGCTGTCCCTATTAAAAAACTTAGCAATCAGTTAAGCCCTCACGCTCAATTAGAACCAAGTAAAATAATCAAAAAAAAAAAAACGGGTGTTTCATTCCCACCAGCCAGTAATGCTGGTGGGCGGGCAGTCCCTCCGGACTATGCCGGAAGGTAGGGCGGAAGGCCCTCTTCAGCCTACTTTCAGGAATCGTGGGAATGGGTGGGTGGTGGTTCGGGTGAGAAAGATGAGACGGACGAAATGAAGACAGAAGAGAGTGAAAGATTATCAGTGGAATATTACTGCCTCAGCATTTGCCTAAGTGATCCAAGGAAACCACAGAAAAACTTGGACCAAGGCAGACGGACCCGGAATCGAACCGGCGTCCTCCCGAATGCTAAGCAATGGTCTAGACCTCTAGGCCATGCCGCTCGGTGTAAAATAATCGCCTAGCATTAAGCTTTATAGATTCCCCCCTCAGCTATAAATAGACCTGCCCCAGTTTTAATACTTTAGTATAAGATTTACTCTATTACTTTAGAAATTGTCGCATTACTTAAATTTGTTTGGTGTTGTGTCTCCCTACAACCCTTATAGTACAAAATTCAGTAATTGTGTTTCACTGAATTCCAAATGATTATTAAGTTTTCGCATTTGATTTATTGTACTACTTTATTTGTAGAGTTTTTAACTTTATTATTGGTATTGTATTATACTATATACGATTTCAAAAAGTATTCGACATTTATTTAAATTGGTTCTTTTATGTGACAAACATTAAAATGTCCTATGATTTACTATTAAAATTATCTTCACGTTTACATTTATAAACTACAACAATAAAGTTTACAAAGGAAGAAGAAAATCGTTCAAAGAAAGGATCAAGGAAGGTTTTGAATTTTAACATTGAAAAAGAAAAACTAATTCAACATATATCTACCTTTTAAATGAAAACCATAATTTTAATGATGCACTATAAACAGGCTCACAGCCATGAACTTTTTCAGGGAGAGCATAATTGCTTAACAGTTAAGAAGCGAATGAAATCTCAGAAAATTTAAGCAATATAATTATTACATTTGAATGAAAACTGAGGATCATAAACGATATTATACAGGAATGTATATATCCGTCAAAATACAAATCTGGATAAGAAATAATCTTTAAAATTCCAAAGATAAAGCATGTACGTTTATTCGTATGTAATTATTCCACATTAGGCCCATTTTTGATCATAAGATACAAATTACAGGATTCAATTCTTTAAGGTTGTCGATATCTGATATAGTGGTCATTCAGAGAAGTAACCAAGAACAATAAAAAGTTTATATTCATTATTATAAAAACATATTAAGTTTCTCATAGAAAAGAATAAACTTAGTAGAAAATACTACAAATGGCGCAGTAAACGCCATCTGTAGCACGATGCTACATTTTAGGATTACGTATGCTCCAACAAGGTCCACTTGTGTGGATATCTACTTCTTGAAAACGAATCCCGGCGTAGCCAACCTCAACGTGATAGGCACGTTAGCTTAATCGAATAAAATAATTCGAAGTGGTCTGGATTCTGTCGAAACTGCCAGACGCGGATCGCGATTTCGATCTTTTTGGATCTCATCAGCGCGCGCAGGCAGCTCCGACAGAACAAACCAACTTTTACCTGCTGTCTTAACAGTGCGTTTTAGAAATTTCGAATTATTTTATTCGATTACTTTTGATAATTTACACCTCAATGATCAATGGTTTAAAACAAATATTTAAGCAAATATTAAGTGAAATTAAAAAAAAATACCTGGCAGCATATACATAAATGCAGTACACATGTAATGTAGAAAACCTTACAAAGTCTTCAACTAAGGCAATTTGAAAAGTAATTCCTAAAGAGCCTGGTATAATAAGTAGATGGAAAATGTAGTGCAGGTATGGCCTCATTGAATACAAAAATGCTCTCCACAGTGATAAATTATACAAGAAGAATGATCCTAACGTCTTGTTAAATGCATAGTTCAATTTTAAACCAATAGGAGAACCCATTAAAAAAATAAGCAGTTGTTTTACACCTTGTACAATTCTCTAAAATAAAGAAATAATAAACAATCATCATAAAATTACAACAAACTGCTCATTACTATAAAAAACTGAATAATTAAATAAATTAAATAACTTACTTCTGCCGATTCTTCAACAAAAGAAATTATCTCATCTTCATATGTTAATGCTGTATATAATACTAAGATTCCTAAAAGAAAGTCAAGCAATCGAGACACTAAAATATTACCAGTTTGCAAACTCAACTTTTTCTCAAGCTTTATTTGTAAAAATGTCACTTGCAAATTCTCAATTATACTTTGAAAATGAGTTGCTGTTTCAGAATATTTACAAAAACCAGAAATATTGATAAACACCTGGATAGAAAAAATTACATTAATGTTTAAATAAAAAGAATAGTATAACATTTTTACCTTTCTGAATACATTCAGTAGGCATAATAAAAAATTTATAAAAATAATGAATATAACCCTTTTATGGTTATTGCACTTGTTAGAATTTGTAGTCTTTATAGCAGACATAAGTACATCAAAATGTATTCCATAGTCATCGTTTTTGTAAGAAGTTATTTCAGACTTGGCAAAGATCTTAAAACCATAGTTCACACAAATCTTAATATACTCTTCTTTTTGGTTTACAATATTTATTGTTCCATCATTTAAATTTACATGAATCCATTCAGAGCCATCAGCGGTTTTTGCAAAATTATTTTTTTCTGGGATCACTTCACTACAGTAGCCAATACTTTTAGCAGAGTAATTAACCAAATTACAATTTGTTATATAAAATGAAACGTTGTCATCATAACTTTCTGAAAAACCTTCTAACATTCCTATTTGATTAAAGCATAGTATATCTGGTATAAAAATAAAGGCAGTTTTCATTTTTCTTTCTTGTTCAAAGACGCCTTTTATTACTATACTATTATCAGATTTTATTTAATAGCCAAATAGGTATGAAATTTTATTACGATATTTTAGAATGTACAATAATAATATTCTAGGTTATATTGATTATAATAATTATAATAATATTTTTAAATATTGCAATATAATAATATGTATTTATTAGCCAATGATCGGAAAATGATTATACCATAGACAAATCATACCAATCATACCGTTACATTTTTTCTTTCTTATCATTGGGTTTTCATCTACAAGTACACCAAGTAGACCTAGAGGTTATGTATCATAGATAAGTTATGTATTATGCGTATAATGTCATAACCCCTTCATGACAGATGAATGATGGATGGTCGTAACCATAGACATATATTAATGGACGTGCCTTAGCCCATAGACATAAATTAATGGACATGCCTTAGCCGTATGTTGTTGTAATAATTTCTTGATTTGAAAGTGAGGGAGATGGCGTCTAGTTTCGGACTAGTGCTATCTCTTTCATGACACGCTTACGCACTATCGTGAGAGAGATGGATATTGTCCGAAACTTCATTCCATCTCTTTCTTTCGTTGTACCACAATTCTGACCGATAAGGCACGTCCATTAGTAGACGTCGATGGTCATAACCATAGACATAGATTAATGGACGTGCCTTAGTCGTATGTCGTTGTAATAATTTCTTGGTTTGAAAAGTCAGGGAGATGGCGTATGGTTTCGGACTAGTGCTATCTCTTTCATGACACGCTTACACACTATCGTAAGAGAGATGGATGTTGTCCGAAACTTCGTTCCATCTCTTTCCATCGACGTTTACTAATGGACATGCCTTAGCGGTCAGAATTGTGGTACAACAAAAGAATGAGATGGAACGAAGTTTCGGACAATATCCATCTCTCTGACGATAATGCGTAAGCGTGTCATGAAAAGATAGCATAAGTCCGAAACAATACGTCATCTCCCTCACTTTTCAAGACAAGAAATTATTACAAGGACATACGGCTAAGCCACGTCCATTAATATATGTCTATGATAGCCACTATCCTTTGTATATCAAATATCAATTATCTATGTTCATATCGATACCGTAACTTGACCGTAACCTTAAAATATTACCAAAATATTCATAAAATAGAAAATAAACAACATAATCGGCAAACACAAATGCACACATTACTCTACTTAATGCTTTAATTTTAATGTTTTTTTATAGTTAGTGATATTAATATAAAATGTTTACCAATATAAATGGGAATCTTAAAAGCTACGAATGTTTTATTTTTTGTGCATAAGTGTTTCTGTAGCAGCAAAGCAGCAAAGAAAAATACCGCAATGAAATATCTTAATGTAGCAGAAAAAAATGATGCTGCAAAAAATATTGCCAGTATTCTTTCAAGGGGAGCCAGTACTCGAGTATGTGTTGTTATTTATCATCTTTAATTTTAATAATGGTCGTTATTTTAGAGAGAAGGTTTTTCTAAGTTCAATAAAATTTATGAATTTAATGCAACCGTTTTTGGTCAACCAGCACAAATGGTTATGACTTCAGTATCTGGACATTTGATGAATTATGAATTTGGTGTTGCATTTAAGAGTTGGCAATCTACTAGTCCTTTGTCCCTGTTTGATGCACCTATTTACAAGAATTGTTCAGCAGACTACTCAAATATAAAGGTACATTTTTATAATTAAAAAACTAGTTCTTTAGCTTTCTTGGTGGGCCTTAACAGGTAGACTCCAAACTTTCTTCTGGGTTGTTTTGCCATGGCATACAGAATTTTACTTTTCATATTTAAACTGTATATTCATTTATTTTATTTATTTACTTAATTTAGCCTATTAATCAATTTACATATTTGAAAATCAAACAAGATATTTGTGTAATGTACAATGGACAATGAAGAAGTAATCGAAGCTGTAAATGGTTATTTTGAGGAGCTTGACGAATCAGTCTATAGAGATGGCATTAATAGACTGGAACACCGCTATGAGAAATGTATCAGCCTTGGAGGAGATTATGTTGAGANTACAAAATAAAATTATAAATGAAATATTGAAGAGTAAAAAGAAACTTAATTCATGAAATTTGTGAAATTAATATAATCAATAGTTTAGAATTAATTAAAATTAAAAAATTCAAACAATTTATTGTTTCCATGACACAATTTTTATTTTAAGGAATGATAATTTAAAAAACTGAATTGCTTTAAGTGAACAATCAACTGGTTAAACAATACAATACCAATATAGTCCATTTTTCTTTTCTTACCATTTAATTTAATAGCAGGAAGTGGAAGAATTTTATTTCTAGTATTTTTTATATCTTCTTTGTGGCAACACTTCTTATGTCTATCCTCTCCTGTTTATGCTTCAATTTATTATTACAAACACAGTCAGAAACCATTTAGTTTGTTTTCTTTTTTATTTAAAGAGAACTCTTGAAAGAGAAATTCGTTCATGTGATGGTTTGATTATTTGGACCGATTGTGATAGAGAAGGAGAAAACATTGGCTATGAAATAATTGATGTTTGCAAAAATACCAAACCAAATATAAGAGTTTATCGTGCCACATTTTCTGAAATTACAGCTGTTTCTGTCTTTAGAGCTCTTAATAATTTAGGCCAGCCAAATAAGAACGTTAGTGATGCAGTAGATGTTAGACAAGAACTGGATCTAAGAACTGGTAATTATTACTTTTTGTCAAGTGGTGCATGTAACTTTCAAAAACAGATTAAACAGAAATAAATGTTATTTAGGGGCTGCATTTACCCGACTTCAAACATTGCGTTTGCAAAAAGTTTTCCCTCAAAAATTAGCAGATAAGTTGATAAGCTATGGTTCCTGCCAATTTCCTACTTTAGGTTTTGTAGTAGAACGTTACAAAGCTATTGAAGACTTTATATCTGAACCATTTTGGAGAATAAAAAGTAAGTGTGTAAAGCAGTGATATTAAATATTTAAATTTTGATTAATGATATGATTATTAAATCATTATTAATTGATATATGAAACAGTGAATCACAAGAAAGAAGATCTCACAGTGGATTATAATTGGAAACGAGATCGGTTGTTTGATAAAAAAGCTTGTCAGGCTTTTTTAGATATTTGTCAAGAGCACAGTATTGCAACAGTTGAGAATATTGAAAGTAAACCTAAAAATAAATGGAGACCTGTGCCTTTAGATACTGTGGTAAGTATCACACACTTTATTTATGTATTGATTTATCGATCCAACAGCAGATGGAAGATTATAGCATTAATATATAGTTGGAATAGAAAGAGAATATTGAAGTTATGAAAATAATTATAACCAAAAGAACTTATTCCAATTAACCATACCACTTTTAGCCAATGCGGGCACTTGTCCGCAGCCCCTTTTAATTGAAAGTGTTGTAGGTAATTGGGTTAGGTCTTTTTTGAAATAATAAATAAAATATTTCTCCAATCAAGGTCTCTATAATTTAAGGAAGCTTTAAGTTACAAACAAAAATAACACCGTTAAAGTTTATTGTTTGCAATGATCATTTCATTACCTCAGTGGCTTCTTCATGTAGAAGAAATACTAATATTTTCGAATTTTTGAAACACTCCTTGAAGACTTCAATGGTAGTTGATTTTAGTTACTTAGGATTTATTTATTTATATAACAACTGTTCTTTTCTATAATTTTTAATTTTTTCATTATGGTTTTGGTTGGTATCGTGTTTAATGGTGATCGAGAGGGGGGGGTTAATGATAGTTGCTGAGAAATTTGTAAATTTTTATAAGTTACTATAGAATACAAATGTTTTTTTTTAAGTTTAATATCAAAATAAAACTGGGCAATATATTATTTGTAGGAATATATAGTGTTCAATTAAAAATAACGAAGTTAATGTTGTAAACTGGAAACCCACCTTCTTGTGACGAACTTGATTGGAAAAATATTCTACATGTTTGAAATATTTCCTTATATTTCCAATGTTAACGTTATAATCTTTTAATCATGAACTGTCTTGTCTACATATACATATTTGCACTTTTAATGTTGAAGATTTTTTATTAATATTTCGTCGTAGGAGTTTGAAAAGAATGCCTCAAGAAAACTTAAAATAAATGCCAAAGACGCTATGAAAATTGCTGAGAAGTTATACACCCAAGGTTATATTAGTTATCCTCGTACTGAAACTAATATCTTCCCTAAAGAACTTAATTTAAGAAATCTGGTTGAACAACAGGTGAATGATAATAATTGGGGTCCGTTTGCTCAGAGAATCATAAACGAAGGAGGGCCTAATCCTCGACAAGGTCGAAAATCCGATCAGGTAAGTTGAATTATTTCTTTCCATTTCTTAAGTAAAATTTGAAGAGGTCTGTAATATATGTACGTTTAATTCCAAATAGAGAAATACGTTTCAAATCAAAGTAAAGTGCAAACTTAAGTGTGTAATGACGTAAAAATATTTTCAAATATGGCGGATTTTGTTATGCCGGAACTTTACCCTAACTTGGTTAATTTAAATGGAACCCCCTGTATTATTGCATTTTTAAACTCCCTAGATCTAGATCACACGTTCTGAAATTATTTTACAAAATTTGATGTTTATAGTTCTTTGGGTCACTTTGGATATCTCCGAATCGAAAACACTTAGAAGGATGTGGCTTTTACGTTTCTTTTTTGAAAAGGATCCCTTAATTACAAATATTAGAAAGGGACATACCTTTAAATACTATAAAATTTATCTATACCAATATTTGCATATTCAAGCAGGAATAGTATTTTTTTTAAAGGAACACCATAATTTTTTCGGAATGTGCAATGTAAAATGATTTTTTTTACTGGTATAGGGTTGTTGGTATCTGTTTCCAAAAGTTTCTGAGAAATTTGAAACTTTCTGGAAATTTTAAATAATATTCTAATATCGCTTTAGTCGTTATTGCCTTTTGACGTTTTCTTTTTCTGCGAAAACTTAAATCGTTTGTGTATTGCGGGAGGCGAGCATTTCTACCACTAAGCTGTTTATGCTTGTTATAAGTCTTTGGAGAAATTATGAGATAAAAATTTGCATTTATTGTATCCACTGATGAAGGATTTTGAAAAACATGCATAACAGTTAATTTGTTATATTAATAGCTAGCATTGAGTTTTGATTTTATATTTTATAATGTACTAACGCGCTATTATATTTCACAGTTTTGGTAATTTGGTTGTAGGCCCATCCGCCCATTCATCCCACAAAATACGTAAATACCTTGACAGGTAACGACCAGAGAGTTTACGAGTACATAGTGCGACATTTTTTAGCGTGTGTTAGTAAGGACGCGGTTGGTCATGAAACCACGGTGCATGTGGACATAGCCAACGAAAAATTCGTAGCCAAAGGTTTAATGATACTCGAAAAAAATTATTTGGAAATTTACATTTACGAAAAATGGAACGCTAAGGAAATTCACATTTATCAAGTTGGTGAAACTTTTACACCTACCGAATTAACTATGGTAATAATACTTACTTATTTTATATTATTTGGTTGGTTTGATGTTTTATTTTATCTATAAATTGTTGATTTTTGATTAAGCTATGCATTTTTTAAATAAGACAGTATGTAGTGTGTGGTGCGGGAATTTTTTTTTGCGAATTGCGGCACCTATATTTCTATTCTTCTTTCCCAACAACTTTTATCCCAAAAATATAAAATGCGTCATACATATGATTTAATCCACTGTAAATAACTAGTGTGGAAAAAATGCTTTTATATGCCTACAAAAAGTTTTTGCTGTTTAGTATTTCTTTAAACAGTACATGTCGGATGCCGGTATTGAAGGGAATGGAATGACCTATTTCAAACATTTTTCATCTAACTCAGCAGTCCAAATTTTCCAAGATGACTTGAAATACATACTTTAGATTTTTGATAATAATCACTTAACAAATTTTAAAAGTAATGACTTCTTAATGTTGATTATTTCTAAAGTTATAAAAAATATTATGCTTTTTTATCTTAGTGCGTTATTAAAATGGAAAAGAAGTATGCTATTTTGATTATTATCCAATATTTACTTATTGCTCCAGCTTTTCAAATTTAATTGTAATCAAAAGTTGTTTTCAGTTCATTTAATTTTTTTGATAAAAGTTTTGCATTTATAGAGAGATTTTTATAACTAATGTCGCTAGTTATGTCACTATTGAAACAAATGTATGAACTGTGTTGGCAATTGTAACACTAATCTAATATTAGGTGGAAAGCAGTACGAATCCTCCAAAACTTTTAACTGAAGCAGATTTGATAGCCCTTATGGAAAAACATGGTATAGGTACAGATGCTACTCATGCCGAACACATAGATACGATAAAAACCCGTGAATATGTAGGATTACAGGAAAACATCTATTTTGTACCAGGGACATTGGGAATGGGCCTAGTTGAAGGGTACTAAAAAATCATAAGTGTAATTTTTATATATTTTTTATTAATTTGTTTTTATAGATACAATAATATTGGATTGGAAGTATCACTAGCTAAACCTAATTTGCGAGCAGAATTCGAAAATGATTTAAAGTTAATCTGTGAAGGTCGAAAAAATGCTGATGTTGTTCGTCGCGAGCAAATTGAAAAGTACAAGGCCGTTTTCAGAACTGTAATGGATAAAATGAACGAGATTGATAATTCATTAGCGAATAGATTGAATGATATTCCAATTCAAATCCAAGATAATATTAGTATGGAAGAACATAAACCTGTAATGAAATGTCCCAAATGCGGCAACGATATGATCGTGAAGACGCGCAAAAATGGGATGGGAAAATACATTTCTTGCAGCGCTTTTCCGAACTGTAAAAACTCGATTTGGTTTCCACTTACTGTTGAAACAGTAGACGTTTTGGATGAGGATTGTGTCACGGTAAGCGATTTATTAATTAAATTTTACAGGGTTAGATGCGGATAAGGTTTTATAATTATGTCAAATATCAATGCTTTTAATTATGAACCCTACTCACCTAACTGTTACTTAATCTATTTGTTATATTGTAACTAAATTCATACAACGTTAAATATATCATTATCCGTAATGCATAGTACTTTACATATGCCAATCAGAGAAACCTTTTCCATAATAGCCTAACATAAACGCTTGGTGCATAACATTTGCATATGCCAATCAACGAGCCTAATTTAACCCTTGATGCATAATTCTTATCCCTGTTGAATACCATTTTATCCTTGCCGTCAACAAGGGAAACATACAAATACAGTCAACTTTCTCTACCTTGTATATTAGTACATTTATTATATTCCAGCTCAATCAGTCCACATTTTGACATTGAATACCGTTGTCGATCATGTATACTTATATATATATATAT